TTTTAATAAGACTTTTCAAAGAATGGAAACAGCCCCTTAAAAATTTCCACATTTAATAATAAAATAGTAATTATTTTTTGAATTATGGTGGATGAATCTTTTTCACATTGTCTTGTTTGCAGCTCATGTCAAACACAGGTCAAGATTCTCAAGGGTCTGATTCTCTAAGGTCATACAATTAAATGCAAAATACACTAAATGCCTAAATTTGGATTCTGAGCCTGACTCACCCTAGAGAAACACATTGTTCTTTTCATGATCACCTTTTATAATGAGAAAATTTTAGTTTTCTTGGCTCAGTTAGTGTCATATTCTTTCACTAACATACATAGTCTATACACTATAATACTTTATATATGATGTTCTGTTTTCAGAAATAATTATAAAATTGTTTTAATAATGAACGGAATGCTTCACCCATAAAGACTAAAAAGGTTGTCTGGCTATAAAAAGATACTATTCTCAGTGCTTTATTTTAATGAGATGTGGCCAACTCTGATTTCAGGAATATAGCATTTCTGTAAGAGGACCACGTCTAGAAGCCCAAGGGACAGTAATGCTCATCTTCGTGAGGAGAGAAATACAAGGTATTAAATTCATTTCCTATACCTTTAAAAACAAAAAACCTTAGTACAATTTGACTTCTGATGCCATGTTTATGCTTTCAAATATTTTAGCCTTGTTGACTATTAAGGAAGTTTATTCATTCTCATTTTTTAAAATTCTTTGGAACACTATTTAAAGGATAGAACCATTTTCTGTGTACTACCATCTTCTGCAGCATTGTAGTTGAAAGCAAATCAGAGAAATTAGAGTCTGCATTAATCACTAATCCTCTGTGAGAACCTGATGTAGAAGCTTCTTGTATAGTGTGATAGCACATAAATCTTGAAGGATAATAGTGGGACATTTTTTGAAAAATGCATTTATAAAGATAATAAATAGTTAAACAACATACTTTGTGTGCAAAAGATTGAAAATACTGAGAAAAACACCAGCAACAGAATCTTGATGGAAAGTTCATTATTATATTAACTTAGGCTGAAGTGCTTAGATTTCAGGGTTTTTTTTTTTTTAGGAAAATATCACAGAGATATGTATAAGTATTTGAGCACCATAGTAATATAAACTTGAATGATAAGGGAACAGGGAAGGAGGAGATAACAAGTCCTGATACGGATGGCATTGTGAGTACTTCTTTTTTTTCTTTTTTAAAAAGAAAGAGCAACTCATTCACTGAGTAATGAATATACTGAGTAAGGGCTACATAAGCTCAAAAAGTGATAACAAAAGGTGAGGTTGATGGTGGAGATGTGTGGTGGGGGTGAGGGATGGTAAACAAAAGGCATTAATGGTTGAGATTGGAAGAAGTTTTATATAACAAGAAAAGGACAGCTAGAATGGAATCCAGAAAAAACCTTTGTGTTTCACCAAGATCCCTCTAAGTTTTCAACTTGATCCTTTTTATGTGCAACTGAGATAATTTCTAAAATTGTAACTGATGCTAATTCTAGGATATTTTATGTTCATATGCTTATAGTCTAGATAAATGGATAAGCTTTATTTTGTAAGAACTTATTACAACAAAGAATATTATCTTATTTTCTTTAAATTTTTTAACTTTGCACATCCCTCTTTTAATTTAATAGTTCCATTTCAAAGAATCATACTACTGATCATTTAATACATACAGAATTATTGTATTGTATTCCATACAGAGAGCTTGTCAGCCCACATGGAAACATGTAGCTGATCAAAATTTTAACTCAGGTTATCATGATCTGGAACCTAAGGCCTTTAATATGTTAAATGAACTCTCCCAAATATGTAATGCAATTCCCAAGGTGTGGCTAGTAGAAAAATCCTTATCAGTGCGTGAAACAAAGCTTCCAAGTCTGTACCATGTCATATTTGAATAAGCCAATGTGTTTACTGACATGGAAAACAATAATCCTTTAGAAGATGAGAAGATTCAGATAGAACTTGAAATGCAGGCCAGGCGTTGTGGTCCACACCTTTAATCCCAGCACTTGGGAGGCAAAGACAGGCAGATCTCTATGCCATCTAGGCCAACCTGGTATACAAAGTGAGTTCCAGCCATCTGGGGCTACAGGGAGACCTTGTCTTAAAAAAAAAAAAAATAAAGACCAAAAAACAAACAAACAAAAAGAGAACTTCAAAAGCGATAAGAATGAATGTAAAATAATTTAATGTTAACAGCGTAAGACTGTTTTGCCAACAACTAAATTTACTGCTGAAGTTGTTACTTAATAGCAACCAGAAGAAAACTGTCTAGGGAGGTCAGCAAGACAAAATCTAATTGTTTTATTTTCTTACAAGTTTGTTTATCTAAAGAAAAATATTTGGAGGGGCTGGAGAGCTGGCCCAGAGCTTAAGAGCTTTGGCTGCTCCTGTAGAGAACCAGGGTTCGGTTCACAACACCCACCCACATGGTGGTTAACAATTATCTATAACTCCAGTTCCAGGGGATTGAACCCTTTTCTGGCCTCCATGGTAATTGCACAACACGGGTGCACTTATAGGCATGCAGGCAAACACTCATACATATAAAATAAAAGTAAATAAAGAAGATTTTTAAGGAAAAAATGTTTACTTCTGTTACCATATTCTAGGCTGAACGAATCAGTGCATACAGTCAATATTAAGAGCTAAACACAGTGTAAAACATTTAGTGTTTGTAACTTGTTCTAAGCGAATTGAACTCACAGGAATTCTTAGAGAGATGACACCAGTAAAATACGTTTACAGTATTAAACATTGGGTGAGCTATTCTGTCCAGCGATGAATCTTTTTCTATCCAGTTTCCAATCAAAACCTAGCAGTACTCAAGACACAGGTTTTAAGACAAAAATTCACACCACTAAAAGTTAGCACAGAGTTTGGAAAATGGATATAAAGCCTGAACTTTATCTGAGGAACTATTGGCAACTGATCACTGCTGAGTATGAGAGACCTGGTCTTCTCTAAGGGAGTTACACAAGCTAGGCTGAACAAGCTCCATTGGATGAACTCACACTGAGGGACATCTGGGGGCACAAACAAACTTGATTTGATTGATAGGCCTTAGCATGTATGACAAAATGTATGAAATCTCGCAGGGGCAAGGGAGGTGCTGAGAGATAGAAATGGGGCCTAAATATGATTAAGATGTATTGTATGGAATGCAAAAATTTAAAGAAACTCTATTTAGTAAAATTAAAAAAAATTAAGACAGAAAGTACTGCTGAATTATAAAAAGGACACAAAATCACAAGAGTTCTATCTACTCTTGTGGTTGTCCTACATCGGCCACAGAGACTTCAGCTGAGTAAGCTATTTAGTTCTATCTCACATGCTGTTTTTTATGTAACTGAAGTTCTACATCTAATGCTTTCACATGCTGGTTTGGTCATGTGATAGTAATAGTGATTTGTAACTTCACCTCTTTAATATAGGACTAGTCACTGGATCTAGCAAAATTAGTTTGTTTAAAAAAGCCTGTATTTTATCATAGTTAACATTAGAGAATATTAAAAACATGAAAACAATAAACAGTGACTGCTATTGTTATTCCCAATGTAGGACTGATCAATACTAGAAAGTAGTCTAGAAATCCCAATTATGGTATAATAATCTTAGTTGTGAAGAGTCCATTTCATGGTATTTATTTCAACTGGTTTTAATTTGTTACAGTTTTCAATATGTAAATATAAGGAGATCAAAACTCCTTGTGACTCCTAACTCCCTTTTAAGGTGCATTTTGTCTGTATTGCTGGATTTTATTCTATTTCTCAGGACTCTTACTACATATTTCTGTTTTTGCTAATATATGTATTTTTTTAATGAGATAAGGTCTCATTGGAAGACTAACCCAGAACTTTTTCTATTTATTTATTATTTATTTATCTTTTTGAGACAGAGTCTCCCTTTTGCATTAGCTGGCCTAGAACTCATTATGTAGACCAGACTAGCCTTGAACTCACAGTTCAAGTCCTCTGCCTCCCAGGTGCTGAGATTACAGGCATGTGCCACCACACCCAGCTAGAACTTAACTTTATAATGAAACTATCTGAAGCTCATGATAATCCTACTGCCTTAACATCTCAGTGCTAGGATTACAAGTGTGAGTTATCATGTCTGGCATCTATAATTTTCCTAAGGTTTAGGTTCATAGAGGTTAAGAAATATAATAATACTTATTAAATTATATATGTATGTAAACAAATAGGCAGATAAATATTATGAAATAAACAATCACATTTTCTTAAACAAGACAATACCTGAAAATGTCAATACTTTCAAACATTACTTCTTTAAGCAAGAACAGCAGCAATTAGGTATGATTTTATACTCTCCACAAATGGCCTAATGAAGAACATAATTTAGAAATAATCACTATTACTTGACTAGGCACCTAAAAGATGAAACTATAAAAAAAGAGAGTTCTGTACATCTTTTACTACAGGATATTCCTTGAATATCTAACAGACTAATTTCATACACAATTATATGAATTTCAAACACTTTGAGGAAATACATTATTGTTATGCTTTCCTGAATGATATAAAAATAAGAAATAGTGCCAAAACACACAATTCATGGGCTGTTAAAATTAATATGTTGTATATTAAAGAGAACTTTCTTATTTCCTTTTATTTCTTATTCTGCCCCTATATTTTGACTTTAATTGAAACCTATATAATAATTTATAAATTTGAAATTTTGGAATGTAAGAAAGTTCAGAAAAACTGTGCACAATCTGTATTCATATGTAAGTAATTTTTAGAAATTTATGGGATGATTGCATTTTTTATTTACAGGTGAAGAACATTAGTCAGTCAGTAAAAGAATATGACATGTTCAAATATTAAGTGGACTCGTATGAGACAAGGCATAAGCATGACAATGAGATAGCATCATGCATAGTTGATACTTGACATCCCAGAAGTTCTTCTGAGAAGCCTGTCTGCTTCCTATCACACCCATCCCCTCTGCTCAGGATGAACTCTCTTATTTCCTCCAGCAGGAGCCAAAAGTTAAACGAGGGAAACCAGAGCACTGTTTCCACTTTCATTCTGTTGGCCTTTTCAGAATATCCAGACCTCCAGGTGCCCCTGTTCCTGGGATTCGTCATCATGTACACGGTTACCGTGTTGGAAAACCTTGGCATGATTTTGATCATCAGGATTAATCCTAAACTTCACACTCCTATGTATTTTTTCCTCAGCCATCTATCCTTTGTGGACTTTTGTTACACGTCTGCAATTGCACCGAAGCTGCTAGAAGTCTTGCTTGTTGAAGACAAAAGCATCTCCTTCATAGGGTGCATAGCACAATATTTCCTTGGCTGTACGTTTGTGATTACAGAAATGTTCATGCTGGCAGTGATGGCCTATGACAGGTTTGTGGCTGTCTGTAACCCCCTGCTTTACACTGTCACTATGTCTCATCAGCTCTGTGCTCTCCTCGTAGCTGCAACTTATGTATGGGCTGGAATCTTTTCCTCCACTCTCACATACATTCTTTTGCAACTATCCTACTGTGGACCTAACGTCATCAATCACTTTTGCTGTGAATACTCTGCCCTCCTCTCCGTATCCTGCTCAGACATCGCCTTCAGTCAAATGGCGTGTTTAGTCATTTCTATGTTTAATGAGGCTTGTTGCCTTGTGATCATCATTGCCTCCTATGTGTTCATCGTTATCACTGTCCTCAAGATCCCTACTAAGGGGGCCCTCCGAAAAGCCTTCTCTACCTGCGCCTCTCACCTCACCGCCATCGGAATTGGCCATGGGATAGTCCTTCTTCTCTACTGTGTGCTCAAGTCCAGAAGCTCTCTGTTTCTGGTGAAAATAGCCACCGTGTTCCACAGCTTGGTCATCCCTATGCTGAATCCCCTCATCTATAGCCTAAGAAACAAAGATGTTAAAGACACTGTGAAGAAGTTAGTCTACCTAAAGTTTATTTTTCATTCAATGTAACCAAACACAATTATCGGTTATTTTTAGAAATATGTTTGACAGATTTCATTGATTGATAAATTTTAGATTTTTCTTCCAATAATTAATGGAACACCTTGGGAAATTAAACAATTTATGTATATGTGTGATAATTAAATCACAGTGTGCATTACTAATTACCTGTGAAAAGAGAAAAAGAGTAAAAATATGTTCTTATAGTATCTTCTTTAAAGGTCCTATAATATAGTGGGGTTTTTTAAACATTTAAAACTTATATTTTATAATTATTAGCTACATTTTCTAATATAAATTGTTACATGGAGATGTTCAGACAGAACTATTAAATGGCTTAAACAATACTTGCATTTAATTCCAAGTGAAACACTATGATATTGAAATTTTTTCAAAACTAAATGTGATTGCATATATATCTATAGGTCACATTTATAGTACATGACATGGCATAGATTTTTTTTGTTTCATAACATATTTTTAATTTTTACTGATTCTTTGAGAATTTCATATTTAGACACTTTCTCCCATCTGTAATCCACAATTTTATGCCCTCAATTTTTCTTTTATAAAGGTCTATCAAGTCAATTTAAATGCTTTCTTTGATGTATTACAAAACTGTCACAGAATTTACAATATATTCTAATCTCCAAGGTTTGTGACATTGTAGTTTGTGGGAAGTTATTATTTATGTAAAACCTGTTTGAGAATATTTTAAATTCTTTATTGTAAGTCATACAATAAACAATTTTTTATCCATTTCTCGCAAAACTTCAATATGACAGTGAAATATTGATATTGATATAATGCACACTTTTGATTCAGGCATCAATTATTTTCATATGTAAAAGGAACAATTATTTAAATGTAGTATCTGTCATACAACAAAAAGTCACCCATTTACATCTGAGGATTGACTAACTTGGGTCTCTAGTCTAGGCTCTGGACCAAGCTTAGTGTGCATGTGTGTGTGTGTGTGTGTGTGTGTGTGAAATCTTCCTTGGAATATTTATCTACAGATTTTTGATAAAAGCAGAGTCATAACTGAGTAAGCCAACTTTAAGTCACTGTTTAAATGTTACTTGTATTAAATATATTAATATTTAATCTCACCTATATTAAATCTTCTCCTGTCTGTAAGTGAAATTCAGACATGTTTTGTGAGCAAACTGCATGAGAGTATCAAGGAGTCGATCTTAGTCAAACTAATGGTGCTAAAATTGAACTGTCATGTTTCCTAGGATCATTTTGCCGAAGTTGAAATGATGTCCTTGATGTTATGTTACATATTCCAGAGGTCTAAATGAAATGTTAAATATAACTTTTGTTCTTATGAAATTAAAGAATTTCAGGAAAAATTAAGCATAGCACACATATGAAGTATAACCAGAATACATTTTCAATGATTAGCAAAATGACTGAGATATTGGCAACAGGAGATATACTCTGTAATACCATTTTCAATTTTAATGATAGATTTTATAATGGCCAAAGCCTGAGATCATGAAAGAATAAGCAAAATCACTGAAAAGCGATGGGAGATAGGAAAGTGATAATCCCTTAACAGTGAGGAGAGAAGACATTGTAAGTCTAAGATTAAACTGTCAATGCAAAAGCTCAAAGAATTTTAGAATATGAACTCCTAGGTTTATTATTATGTTGCAGTAACTTTCCCAGGATCTTGTTTAAACATCTCCAAATAACTCCATGACCATTTCCACAAAATTGTCAGTGAATTTTCTATCAGGTTATTTCTTCTGAGTATGTTTACTGAAGGAAGAATTATGGGAAAGCTAATGTATAATGCAAACTTGTATTTAAAGGGGTTATTAGGTCACTATGGAATAGATATGTTAAGTCTCTTCAGTCCTAATAAATTGATGTGATTCTCTGTACTTGTTAAATTAGAAGATTGGGTTGATTAGTTTTCAAGTGAAATGGAATAACATTTTATAATACTTTGACAACTTGACCATAGATTATAATGCAGTGCTCTATTCCTCCTCTACACTATCCACCACTTACTCAAAATGGAGTGAAGTTAGAAAACAGCTGTTACTTTCTGTACATCTGATTACATATAAGTTGTAGATAATTATTTGGCCCTAATTACTTCAATTCTCTACCATCCCAAACTCAGTTCATAAATTTCTAGCTAACCACATACAGCGCTTATGCAGTAAGTTTCCTTGTTATTTTTTGTTATAAGTTTATTGTTTTGGTTTGTTTTGTTTTGACAGAGCACAACATAGTAATCATGACACTATAACCAGTTTGCTTGACAGACACATATTGTAGCATGTGGGGTCCAGTGCTGGGTAAGATCATTGATGTCTTTTCTACCCTGGTAGCTGCATAGCACTGTAAAAGCTAGTCAGCAGGGAGGAAGTTTCCTAGTCAGTTCTAGATTGAGTTCTTTATGCCCTACAATGAAAGTGTGTAGTCTCTTTAACAGTATGGTATTGCTATCTAGTAATGGTGGGCAACCAAGGGAATTGGCAATAGCCTTGTCATTTAATGAGCCCGTGGAATCTCCCTGCCCAATAACTTGTAGGGAGGTTTCCAATGTCTGTCACTGAGATGTTCATTTAAGCACTTAAATCTTCTAGAGGAGCACTAGTCATCCATCCAGGGCACCTCTGTCCAAGCTTCCTTGTTTCAAATGACATTTTTGAGACAAGGTCTTATTATATAACCCTGGATGAAGCATACTATGTAGATACGCTGGCCTCAAACTCAAAGAGTTTGCCTTTTGCCTCCCAAATGATGGGATTAAAGGCATGAACTACCACATCTAGCCTTAAAGGTATTTTTAAATAGCTCACAAAGTAGTGTTTTTCCATAAGACAATTTTCACGCATCCTTTGTTTTGGTTCACCCACCTCTACCCCTTCCTCTCCTCCATCCCATACTCCTTCCCTGCTTAAATTTTTAACGCTTAATATTTCTAGCATTCCCTGCTTCTACTTTAAAATCACTTGTGTTCTATCACCCACTCCCTCATTAACACCTCTTTCCTTCTCATGGTCCCTGTCTAACATTCTAACATACACACAAGCAAACCAACTGAAATACACAAATCAAAAATTGAAAGCTAGGATCTACAAATGAGAAATAACATGCAGTGTGTGCCTTTCTGGATCTGGGTTATCAGAGTCTGGTATTTTCCAGGTGCATCTATTTTCTTCCAATTTCATTTTTTCTTTACATCTGAATAAGTTTCCATTATGTATACATATCACATATTGTCCATCTGTTGATGGGCATCTGGGCTGATTTAATTTCCTGGCTGTTATGAGTAGAATAGCAATGCATGCAAATGTGCAAGTGTTTCTGTAGGAGGATATGGAGGAGTTTAGGCAGATTCCCAAGAGTGGAAACACTGGGTCAAATGACAATTCTATTTTCAGATGTTTTAGAAAATTCCAGAGTGATTTCCAAAGTGATGGCCAATTTACACTCTCACCAACAGTGGATAAAGATTCTCCTGTCTCTACAACCTTGATACATTGTTTTTTCTTTTGATTTTTTTAATGATAGCTATTTTGACTGGAGTGAGGTAGAATCCAAAGTAGTTTTAATTTGCATTTCCCTTGTGGCTAATGATATTGAACGTTTCTAAATTGTTTACTAGCCACTTATATGCATAAGGGAGGAACGAAAGAGGAAGACATAGTGGGTAGATATAATGGAAACATATGATGTGCATGTATGGAATTCTCAAGCAATTAGAAAATAGAAGGCTTCTAATGGTGACATGCAATAAGCCTTCTTCCCCCATGTCTCCTGAATGGCAACATCAGTTTCTTCCATGGACTCATTCTTCATTTCTATTTGTTACTTACATTTTAAACTCATAGCTGCTGGATGCTGAAAGAAGTTCATTTTACACTATTTTGATCCTTGCGTTAAATACTTTAACTATGACCTTAGAAATAAGAATGCAGTGCTGACCATAAGAAAATTAATGTTAAAATGTTTTCTCACTGAGTATAATCACACATACAGTTGCACTTACACTCTTTCACATAAACTCACATCCCCATGCACATGCCTGCTCTATTTATTTTTAATGCCTATTATATATTTCCTTCATATTTACTACATTTTTTTCAAATAATAGGATCACATTTACTCAAAATTTGTTAGACATTTCTTATATGTCCTTAAATATTGCAAACCTATTGCAAGTAAAAGAGAAAGGGATAGAAATGACTGTTTATGAATCTCTTTGAATTCAGTAGAGTAAGAAGTGACCCCCAATGATGCTGACATTCCACTCTTCACAATGTAAAAATGCATCATTATAAGTTTCTATTATCATTTTGTTAGAATTTCAAATTCTCTGATTATGAATATGTTTGTTCACTATCTTAACTTTTCCCTCTTTGTTCTTTGGAATCAAAGTTATGCTAGCCTTTTAAGATGGATTTGGGAATGTCTGTTTTACAGTTATAAAAATGCATAATATTAGATTTTTGGCATGTTTTCTTTTCTTAAAATAATATTTAATTTTATTTTATATTTTATGTGTATAGGTGTATTGCCTGCATGTAGGTAGGTGCACCTGTGTCACTCAATGACCTCTGATGTCAGAAGATGGTGTTGGATCACCTGGAACTGGAGTTACAGATGGTTGTTAGCTGCCATATGGGTGTGGCAAGAATTGAACCCAGATCCTCTGCAAGAGCAGCCAGTGCTCTTAGCTGCTGATTCATCTCTCCAGCCCACAAATTTTTAGCTACATGGAGAATTTTCAATTATGAATTAAAAAATATTTTAAATATGGTGAATAGTTTAATTGCATTATAGAAAAAGTATGGATTCCTTGTGAAATCAGCTTTACTTTCCCCTTAGAATTTACCCAAGCTTGCTATGTGGTTAAAAGCTTTGACACCATATTCACAAGATGCATTGTGATCCTCACTTTTCAGTGCTGTTAAGAATTTTGCTTTCATGTTTAATTTTTCCCACCCTTGATTCAATAGAGTAGAATTCAATCAATTTTA